TGTTTGGGATAACCTAAATAAGTATACTTTTTATCTTTTTACGAAAAGATGTGCAGAAAAGTAGAGAGGTGATGTGATGAAAAAAACATAAAAAGATGAATTATTTTGTGTATGCCAAGCTTAGCCTAAATGTAATTTTATGAGCACTATTTTTTTTCTTATTATATATTTAGTTAAGTTGAGAAACTAATAATAAATGCAACTAAATGTAACTCTATGAGCAGTATTTTTCTTTTCCTATTATACATTTAGGTCTCGTTTGGGAACATGTTAATTTAGTAATTTTTTGATTATTTGGCTAAAATATGAACTAAAAAAACTAGTATGTTTAGGATGACTTTTTAGTTTTTTACGAAAAGATGTGCAAAAAGTAAAGAGAAAAGAGAATTTTTGACTTTTTGGTATGAATTGTTAGATTTTTAACTTTTTTAATAACTTTTTGACTTTTTTAAATAAACCGGCCTGTTGCTAAACGAGGCCTTAGTTAAGTTACGAAACCATGTAAAATTTATATTTTGGGCCCTTTTTTTTTTTAATCATCTTGGAATTATTTATTTTATTTTTTTCGCCTTTAAACACATAACTCTTATCATTTTTGTCTGTATTGCCATTGTCTCTATTTAATACAGCTACTACATCCCCTTCTTTCACCACTGCATTTATTTACTACCACCCACCACTGCTATCACCATTACCCCTATCAATTACTTCATCTTTCATGCTTTGCCATTGTTCCACCATCATAACACCTAACAACTATCTACACCCAGTCACATCTTTTATTGTCTCTTCACCAGTGTTAAACAACTATGATCCAACCACCGTAGTATTAGTCCGGATAGATTATTAGTCCTATTTTATACTTGAATTCTTCCAAACAAATACCAGCTAAGGAAAATGAAAGGGGAGGAGGACTGTAAAGAGTAAAGAAAGTGGAAATCAAAGTGTAGGTACTTGAGAAGAGGATAAGAGATGACAATAGTAATGTGGACGAAGGGGAATGGGCAAGGTTGTGGTTGTAGAGGGATAATGAAGGAGCACAATAGTATGAGTGGAGAAAATGCAAGGCCTAGAGAAGCGAATAAGCTATTGAATTGGTCAATCATGGAATTTTGTAATCTAATGGTGAAACTTGAATTTATTTTAAAATATTGATGCCTTTATCAAATTTCGTTTATTAACAAATAGACACTTATGGTATTACATTATAAAATTTAAGAAAACACAATATAATTTAATCTTTTTCAAATTTGAGAAGGTATACTTGGTCCTTCTCCTTTTTTATTTTTTATTTTTTTTAAGCATTTGACTTTTTATTAACTGCCAACCGAGCAGTTTGGGTTGCTATATGGGGCAGATGCTTTACTGTTTTGTGAAACTTTACTCGGCATATTGTTTTGGTATAATGCCAGCTTAACTCTTTTCCATTTTTTTAAAAATAAAATTCGTCAACTTAATTATTTTGGCTGTAGAAATTAATAATAAAACCCAAAAAATTGACCGGTATCATCTCTTTTCATACCGAATTTTAATGGGGCAATTGGAATAAAATTATATAAACTCAAAATAATTACCAAAAAGTGAAATTACAAAATTTAGTTGTACAACCTAATACATGACTTATTTGTATTTTCATGACAATATAATTATTTTGAACTGATACCATTTTTTGTAATTTTTCTAATTTTAATTGACATATTTATTATATGTACTAGTTGGCTGGTTCAATCCGGTACCTTATTCATAGCTTGGGGAGGTAGACTTGTTGCCGTTTCAAAAATTCTTCTACTCATGTTGTGAGAGCATAATTTTCAATATATATAGGTCTTGTTTAAGAAGTTTGTTATTTTAATGACAAAAAATTGAATGGATGTAAATAGTATCAAACATTCTCGAGTCATAATAGACACCTCATTATTTTAATTTAATAGTAATTACAACTACTCATACTATTTTTTGAAAACTTTTGAAAGATATGTATATATATACTAGCTGATTGCCCAGGCTACGCGTGAGATATTTTATGAAATAACATATTAAAATAAAAATCAATGAAGAAGAATTTACAAATAAGAAAATGCATCTCTATTGCATTTTTTATATTTGGTTGTTGGGCAAAAATAGTTTCGTGATAAATCAAATCACATGTTTTATCATGAGAGATTTTATTTTTTTCAATTTGCATAGTCAGACCGGTGATGTCAATTATCATTGGCGATTGCTCCTATTACTTGTGATTTTTGTTAGAATTTTATTTTAAGAATTTGAAACAAAGTATTTGATAACATCTACGTACAAAAATAATTTAAATAAGTTTTTTTGTTAAAAAAAAAAAAGAATTTTTTAGTTTATTTTTATTTTTATTTTGATGGCCTCATGGAGGGAAAACAAATCAAACATTTTTCACCATAGAGGGAAGAATGGGCCAGCAAATCAAGGGACATGGTTTTCCATGTTCGGAGCAGTGGGCCATGATGGGGTGTGGATGAAATCTTTGCAACCAAAAACCATGCAAGTAGCATATGTGCTAGGGAAGAAGGCAGAAAAGATTAATATTACGAATTCATCCTTATTAATTCAAAAATTATTTAAAATTTTTATCTTGTCAGTTAGATTTATTTATATATGAATTTCATACTACACAAATTTAATTCCTGGGTCCTTAGAGTTTTTCAACAAAATTATCCAAGGTCAAACTTATATTCAATGTGGTTTTGCCTTCTAAGTGTATTGAGTTATACAATTAGCTTTTCTTATCAGTGAAATCAACAAATCGATCCAACCCGGTGTATGTGGTTTGCCCTTCTACGTGTATTAGTTTTTCTTGCCAGTAGAATCGAATAACTGATCCAATTCGGTCAACATCAAACACAATCTTCATTGTGAAATTATAATAAATTTAAACCAGCTTAATCCAACTAATTATTGTTAGCTTGTTTACTAACATAATAAAATATATATCATATTTCTGGTTATATAAAATTAGACATTAGTAAAACTGAATCAAACTAAAGTGGTTTATATGATTTGGTTCTAGTCTAGTTCTACATGTTTAACGGTTCGGTTATAATTTTTGCTTTTTTGGAACCGTAGGAACTAGTTTAGTTTTTGATTTATTCTAAAATTGGACCAATCCAATCTATGTACACTCCTATTTTTAATTGATTGTGTAATAAGATGGGTACAACGCCACATGATTGGTCTAATATACCAAATACCTTACATGAAAGAGGGAGATTGATTACAGACACAAGTTGTGCGAAGCACACTTCTCATAGGGGTCTTTTGGAAAGTAGCTTTTTATCCATCTTTTAGCTTTTTACTTATTTTAGGTCACCTCACTTCTCCCATTTTTTACTCACAAAAAAACAAAATAGACTAAAAAAAAGTTAAAAAATTAACTTTTTTACTGACTTCTCAAAACACTCAATAATAAGACGGTAAATTTTCGGACACCTTTTGCACTGTTTATATTTGAATGGAAAGGTGCTATTCAGGTTCATGAAGCCCAATACGAGTCTCGTTACAAAAAAATCACACACAGTGGGATAGGGGGTGAGGAGATGGAGCAGGGTTGGTGGGAGAGATTTGTCATCCCAACTTCCGAACTTGTTAGTTTCAACCACACAGGTGGAATAATTTGACAACACACAAAAGCAATGCTTATACACGTACCATTCATGGATTGGAGTTAAAACTTGCAAGGAATTGAAGATCAAAGATAAATGAAGAACAAGTCAAATCAATTTCCAACCCAATTTGTCTTTACATGTTGAGAGAGAACCCTCAAATTTCAAGATTCAACTTGAGTTGGGACTTTGATTCTAGGCCACACAATTTACCAACCAAAATTGACTTGGTAAGCAACCACACCACTCCGACACCCAAAAAAAAAATTATGGTTCACAAACCACCTCACAAAGCTTAAAGCTCAATCAACGAATAATTGATCTCTTTCTGTTTTGTCAAAACATAGTTTAACATAAAATTACTAATGAGCCCCTCTTGCTCAATGTCTTTTTTAGGAAGGGCATAAACAATAAAACAGTGACAATTTGTCATCTACTGGCGTAAATAAATTTCATTACAGTTTTTTGATATATAAATGGCTATTTACTTTAAACTTCTTGGACATGTTATTGAATAGCCTATACTTGTAAAAATGTGCAGAGGCATAGAAGAAGAGCAAAACCAAGGCGGTTTCCGGCGAAAAGATGCTGTTTTAGCTCATGTCGGCCAAGGCACGGTGGCTTGTGTGCTCTGCAAATCACGGGCCTCATTGTACTGTCAAGCCGACGAGGCGTTTCTATGTAGAAAATGTGACAAATGGGTACATGGAGCTAACTTCTTGGCACAAAGGCACATTAGGAGCTTGCTTTGCAATTCATGCCAAGGCCTGACTCACCGATATCTCATGGGAACTTCGACTGAGGTGCTACTTTCAACCATTGTGAGTCGTCCGGGAGAGAGAAGCAAGTGTGATTAAAATGTCAAAAAAACAAAGTGCTCAACAACACTTAAATGACTTGTTAAAAAAAAAAAAAAAACACATAAATGAACTTTTCTGTTTCTTTTAAGTTTCTTCTTCTTCTTCTTCTTCTTTTTTTCCTTCTACTTCTCATTTTTTGTTACTTGGAACTTCGGATTGGATGTAGCAAAAAAAGAACTGGTGCTGAAATTTATTGTTTCGTGAGCTCTTTGAAATGGGTATTGGCAGATTTATTTGATAGTCAAATTCAGGGTACTGGGAGATTAAAGATTTAAGGAAACAAAAGAAGAGAATTATATGGAAAAATATAAATTTTTTTTGTTGGGGGGGGGGTGGTTGTTTTGACTTGCTACAACCTTGATGTGGTTATATAGAAATATCAATTAATCAACCAGTATATTCTTCTTTGCTAATATAGTAGCGTTGTTATTTATAATCCCAACACATTTCAAATATTCTCTGTAACGCCCTCAAAATAAACACATAATCATACATTCATGATACCAAAAAAAAAAAAAAAAAAAGATATCATCCCCAACTTTTTTGTTTTTTTGGTGTATTAGAGGTCGTAGCTTGGGGGAGGGAAGTCTTGTATGTGGCAAGACTTAGATCCTTGATTTTGTGGTGAACCAGTTCTGCCCAACTGGATTAGCCCCAATTAGTTCATCCACAACCTTTTTTGTAATTGGTTGAGGATGATACAGAAGACTCCTCCATGTCTTTATTATATGGGCAGCTATAAATGGAAACAAAGCAATTGTATCAACATAGAACATTGGATTGTCAATTGAAAACTGATAAAAACCTAGAAATTTACTTGTTCTCTTCATCCAAGCAAAATTTAGATAAAATGTTAGAAAGCATATATGGATGCATAAAAGTTGCATGCTTGCATCTAGTTTTTAGTACAAGTCCATTATTATGAATGAAAAGAAGTAACTCAATGTGTGAAACTCTCGCTAAAGTCGATATTATCATGAATATGCAGTCATTAAATGATGTTATTTTAAGTCCCTGAAGTGAACAGAAAATATGAACAAAATAAGTCAAAACTATCTAACAACATAACACGATGCATTCCAAAACAAGTCAAACAATTCTCCAAGAATTTTTTTATTATTTATTTTATTTTATTTTTGTGTCAGTGAAAAGAACACAGATTTTTGGTACTCTTTTAAACAGAATAAAACTCAAATGTTTCATTTAAGACATGGTGAGACTGAAGGTGAGTTGAGCGATATAAAGCATGGATTTCTAAAGTATTTAAATTTGAGTATGAGATATGTATGAGTACTTGAGTAAAATTTTCATATATAATGAAGGTCCTCAGTTCAGGCATTCATATAAAACACCACATTTAAAGGAAAACCATAGATGATTATGTGATCAAAGTTTGTCTAATATCTATTTTTCTCCTCCTTTTGGTTTTTTCTTTACTGTGTAATTACGTTTCCACTTCAACTAGTATTTGGGTGTTTTCTGCTTCAGTTGTTTGTACAAAGATGAAATTCTCACCCCAAAAAAAGACACAAGTTTTTGTCAATTTCTCCCTCCCCTTTGGCTACCAGCCAATGCTCATCACCACCTCCAACCACTCCCTCTCACTTGTTTTCAAAATAAATTTTTTAGGCGTGTGTACCAAATATATTTTTTTTTTTGGGGGTTATCATTTTTACCAAAAAGAAACATAAGATTGCTTAATATTTTATGTGGAAAAATAAAAGTTTACTGTAAATGTTACCAAACAAGATATTTCACTCCAAAAAAGTATATAAATGTGTACCGGATATAGTGCATTTTCCCTGAACCATTATCAACCAACATACTTGAGACCAAAAAATTGTAGGGTAATAATTTACCAGCTAAAATAGTGAGGAGTTTATTCCCGAAGATAAAGGCCAATTTTTTTGTTTTTTATTTTTTGCTAGCATTCAATAGAGATATATACCAATGGCTATGACAACTAAAAAAAGAATTAACCAAGAACAGTACACAATAAAGTGCAACCTAATAGATGAAATACTAGTGTATTGAAAAAAGCAGATGAATTTTATTATATGTAAAAGTTGAGTCATAAAGCAGTTCTTTTTCTTTCATCGCACAACAATATTACTACACGAAGGAAAAATAAAAAAACGAGAAAGAAATTGTTTGATGCTTTAAACACTGGAATAACGAAAATTGACTTGCACAGAGGACAATGCCTCACGGCAAGATTGGTAGAGTTGATAGAAAAAGTAGGACAAGGATTAACTTTAAGAGAGGCAAGGCAAAAAAGGAATTCAACCCTAGGGTGTCACCACGAGATTCTTCATCAGATGTATATCTGAACTGAAAATTGTTCACAATTCCAGGACTGGAGAAAAGAAACAAAAAATAGTCAGTGAGTTGAAAAGAGAAATTTATCGAGAAAGAATCATGTGACATCATCTTGATTGAACCCTAAGCACAATTACCTATTATGTTGCTAAACAGAATGATTGACCAAGCTGCAGAGACTTCATTGTAGATGTGATGGGTTGCTCCAGTGATCATCTCTCAGTCAATTCGCAGCAATGAGATCTGCCATTGCATAGATGAAGCGTGGCTTATTTGAGAACATTTTTTAGTATCGAGATCTGCCATTTCATAGATGAAGTGTGGTTTATTTGAGAACATTTAGTATTCAGATCTGCCATTTCATAGATGAAGTGTGGTTTATTTGAGAACATTTAGTTAATATTCTGCATGTATACATAATATTGAAGATATGTAGATGTGTGGGGGTGAAGATGAGTACCCTGTTGAAGGATAAAGAATCAATCTAGGTTGAAGAATTGATTTCTGAGACCTGCCAAGACAATCAAGATACAGAAATTGTATGTCAAGATTAATCTCTAAAGACAATATTTTCTGTTATATATGTTGCATTTAAAGAGCATTTGATATTTGGCATTTCTGTCTACTGTTTCATTATATTATCATTGTTATGATAACAAAAACACTATTGACCATGTCTTTATACTTCTATATCTCTATAGCCTTAACAAGCACAACTAAAATTCTTGAAGCATGGCATTTGGAGGTAGGCAGTTCAATACCTTTTTAATCAGGCATTGATATGCAAGGGACATGGTGATCTGGCTCTCAGAAGTTCCTTGTTACAAGAGGATCATAGTCATATGCTTCACCAGCCTTCACAAATCTACCTTTCACACGCTTTCTAGTGTCAGCTCTGGCTTTACGAGAAGCATATCTTATTTGTTTACCAAACCTACAAACCACAAACATTGAAATCTCTTAGGGGTTGAATGACATTCAAATAGAGACATCATGATGTTTTTTTGGAAAATGACTTTAGACATTAGGCTTCCAAATTTATCTACCAAATGGCCATATTTCACTACAGAAATAAATATAAAAAAAAAATAGCTTCAAACATCTAAAAGTTTCTTCAAAAGAATGACAAACAATAATATGCTTAAAAATGGCTTCCTTTTCCAAGCATTTTGGAACATTTTCTTATTTCCCATCCAACAATCAAAAGCTGAGAAAATAAACTTAGACTATCTCAGAAAACAACAAAAATATTTCAGATCTTCTATGAATATAAACTGCATATCCTACATTTTAGAAGTTGAACGACTTACATTCTTGTTTTCTTCTTTTCATTATACCTCATCTTAGCTTTGTCCCTTGCCTGCGGGCAACTGACTTCCAAATTCGACTCCCACGGTGACTCACCCGTCAGAAACACTGGAGATAAACCACAATCCTGATAATCAGCAACACTACTTTCACCAGTGATGTTGGATAGTGAAAGTGATATACTTGAATGAACTTGTCCAGTCGGAAAACTCAGGTTGATATTGCTGTTACAGCTTGGATTTATAAGCATGCCATTTAAACCTCCACTCATAGTCTGCATCAAATTAGCTGACCCTACAACACGTGACGATTGGAAAGCCATGCACTCTTGTTTTCCTGTTGATGATGCCGCCTAAAAAAAAAATCCCACAAGGTTAATAATAGTCTACAAAAAAGTGTGTTTTATCAGTGAGCTTAATATTTCAGTGCTCTTCGAAGTTTGAAATTAATAAACCACCATTTCAGTTATTATTGTCAGATAAGATAAATAGATAACAATGGCAACAACTACATAAATATAATGTTCTACTAGAAGAACCATATAGAAATTAAATCAGGTTGTTTCAATTTCATGTTCTATAGAGCACAATCAATTATGTTCTGATTGTTTCATTGCTGAGTTAAATGCTGACCTAGGTATTTTACATATGACAAGAAAAGGGAATCAGTGAAATAGTGCAAAACCCTAAGATGCATTCAGACCAAATTCAATAGACAAATAAGCAGAGGCTCAAGATCTTTAGGTAACTGTTTGGAGCTAGATAAAACACATATCATTCAAAATCATACAAAACCCAGAACATAAAATTCCATGTCCCGAGTCTCACAGATAATCATCAAAGCCAGTTGTTGAAATGTTTTTCTTTTTCACTATTATAAATAGATTATCAAGAATGCCAATGTTTATTATTTTGTGTCTTGAGGACACAGCGAGAACTGTTTAGCACAGATGTTGCTGCAACAAAAAATGGAATTGCTTAAACAAACTATAAGATATATAGATCTGAAAGAAACCTCTATGGCACTTTCGACATGGCCATTAGATTCAGTAACGGATGCATTTTTCTCCATTAGTTGGCAATTTGTTCCTTCTCCATCAAAATTGTATGTAGACTGGCCTCGCGAGGAATCAAATATCTCATCACAGCTCTCAAAGTTCAATTCAACATCATCCATGTTGAGACCTTCACAGAGATCTTCACCATCATTAATTTCAAGATTCTTGTAACTGGAATGACCCTATTTCAGACAAAGCAAATCAAGCCTTTGGTTACAGATTTGTTCATTGCCATTTCATAAGGGTTCTATCCAAAAACATAAATTACCAAAGAAATAAGAGAAATCACCTTAGGTAGGTTTGATCCCTTAGGAAAAGTAAGTGTCTGATCTTTACTGCAGAGAGGTAGGAAATTTGGGCTGGGTGGAATCACAGTAGATGGACCGATCCAAGGTTCAAACTTGTCACAATTCAACTCGCTCGTCACCAACCCAACTGACCCCTCATTACTGGTATTCTCCAAACAAGGACTAAGGAAGCAATTGTCATTAATGGGCAGTGTACCAGGGGGACCAAAACCTTGCTCAAAACCACCATTAGAAGGAGGGACATCAAGAACAGAGGACCAAATCCTCGAAAACTCAGCCAAAGAAGGACAACCCGAATAACAACGTAGTGGTTGGCGCGAATGACCTGGGCCTGAGCAGCCATTGCCATTCCAGTCACAACTCTGGCACAGAGACATTTTCTCATCCATGCAACGTGCAATTGCTGGCTGCGAATTGCACTTGTCGCATATGAGCGAACGAGAATGTCTACGCGACAGGTAATTGGCAGAGTGGACACAGGTGTCGCAGCGCAAGCAAAGCTTGGCTGAATCTGATTTGCAGTAAACCACTGCCCTCACAACCCCACAAAACTCACACACAGGCTCCATACTTGGCTACCTTGACCTGATTAGTTTTATTCTCACCGAACATAACTAACTTTTGAAAAAAAAAAATTGTTGTGGCGGGAATTCAGCTACCCCACTAACTAATCTCCCTCCTAATCCCCCAAATCAACATTTAAACTTGAAAAGAAATGCATTTTTCTTCTATGTTTATTTTTTAATTTTTGGTACTAGAACTCAAATGAATTTAAAACTTTTATAGTGAACGAGGGTTCTGTTAAAATGAGGTCTAATAATCAAATTCCCACCACGAAATTATTGGGAATGTACTAATTAACCAAGATCGAGGAAACAAGAAGCCATTAATGAAGCAATACAAAGTTTTTGATTTCCAGAAGTGAAATAACAGAGATTAAAAAAAAGTAAAAAAGTAAAACAAAAGAAGAAGAGAAGTATTGCTCATGTGGGTTGAGATTTTTTTGTTTTTGTTTTTGTTTTTGTTTTTGTGGGGGAGCTTTTGAGTCAACCGGGGAGGTTTGGTATTTATTGGAGGCATTGGGTGTTTGCCACGTGGCGAACTGGGTGAAGAGAGATGGGTATGAGAGAACTGTAATGGTCACACCCTTTTACTCGTTCGGTACCCAAAGAATGTGGAGACACACGTGGGTATAACTTGCTCCGAACCAGACGGTCAAAGGTTGGGAACGCTAAGCACGTGTGTTAACTTAATACTAGGATGAGAAAAAATTTAATATAACGGTGATATCGCTCACGTGGTATTATAAATAAAATACAATAAAATTATTATATGATGTGATAAGTAAATTTTAATTTTTAAGTGCTATGTATACATAGAAGATAAAAAAAAAAATTGTATGCAAATTCCTTTCATATACATGTAGTACTTGAAAATTAGAATTTATTTTGGATGATTTATTAGGGAATTTTTTTTAAGTACTTATATCTCAATTAATTCATAACATATTATTGTATTCTAATAAATTTTATTATTTGAACATTTAATGTACTAAATTTTAATTCTCACATTTAAGGTATTTTGTAAATAATTTTACCTTTACAAATATATTTTTAACTCTTGTTAATATGATAATCTAAACATTCATATTTTATCATATTTTCACATTCACATTGAAAATATCAATGTTCATATTACAGAACATTCACACTGTTAATGTGAATATTATTAAAGGTATTTTAGTGGCTATGTCACCCATAAAATTTATTGAAATATAAAAAAATAATTTAAATTAACTGAAATATAAATAATAAAAAAAATTATAAATAAATATCTCATTTACCTTTTACATCATTTGATTTTATTATGTATTAATAATACCACATCAGCACTATTATTACACTGAATTTTTCCTCTGAAATAAGCGATAAAAGTGGTCACGGGCCAGTGCTTGTTTTTATCACATGTCCTATATTAATGAATCTTATCAGAGAATTTTCCACAACAAAGTCATGTTTTGAAGAATTTTAAAAAAATAAAATAAAAATTAATTTAGTGTATAAAATAATAAATAAATACTAATTATTTTTAAATGTTTGGGCTAAAAATAATTCTAAAAAAAGTTGAAAATGTCTTTTTGACATTTATTTTTGCATTTTTAAAAAAATTTGAAAATGAAACCAATCAAAGTCTGAATTTTTTGGATAATTTTTGTTTTAAAAATTGATATATCATATTAGTATGCCAAATGGAACCTAACAACCTAAAGTGGTGAGCGTTATATCAACAATGATTTGAGATCCTAATTTTTTTTTTGAGATTCTCACCATCTCTTTTAGATCTTAACCATTGATGATGTGAGCCCCACACATACATCAATGGTTGAAATCGAAAGGGTTATGGGAATCTAAAAAAAGGGGATCCCAAACATTTTTGGTGTCATATTATAATTTGTTGAAAAAAAAGGTTTTAATAATTTTCTTTGTTTGCTAGTATTACTCTTTTTAATATAATTCTAGTCTTTTGTTCTGTGGTAAATGAATTTAGGTTTCACAGTTTTTTGACTTGGCATTTGTAGATGTTGGAAATTTGTGTGTTTTTTTTTTTTTTTATAGGCTTAACTTTAAGCCCAATTTTGAGTAGGCCCCAAATGTCTTTTAGGGTAGGTTCGAAAAGGTGACGTGTTTCTTGTCGCATGGCAAATCACACGGTGAAGACGGTTCGTCAAAACCATTTATGAGTGAATGGGAATTTGATGTCATTTTCGGGTTCGTGGAATGGACAATTAGAGTGTGTTTGATTGGGGGGATAAGGGGGGACTATTTACTGTGCGGATTGTAATCCGGAGTAATCCAATCCGCCGTTTATTTTTTTTTTAGTCCGCAGGACATGGAGTTCGACCGGACTCCTTATCCCCCATATGGGGGACTATTGTGTCCTGGGAGGGGTGTGAGACAATTTTGGGAGGACAATCCACTGTTGGGATTAGGTAGTAAAATGACCATTTTGACCCTCTACTATTTAATTATGTATTATATTTAGTAAAATTCAATAAAATTTAAATGTCTCAATTTAAAAAATAAAATAATTTTATTTAACTTTTTATTGATGTTTTATTTATTTAATTTTTTTTAAATAATTTTTTATAGATACTTTGTTGATGTTTTATTTTAAAATTTTGTTTATATTTTATTTAATTTCATTATTTAAATTTTAATAGATGTTTTATTTAATTTCATTGTTTAATTATTATTATTTTTAAAAACAAATTTATTTAAAATTTTAATTAAAAAATAACATATATTTTTATTGATATTTTATTTATTTAATTTTTAAAAAATAAATTTATTTAATTGTGTAAAAAATAAAATAAAATAAATTTTTATTTAATCTAGATAAAAATAATTAAAATATTAAAGATATGTTTAATATTGCTATTATTTAATAAACTATTGAAAAAAGGTAAAATAGTCTTTTGGTCATTTATCATATTCAGTCCGTCCAACCAAACGTTGGATTCACTAAAAATAGTTCTTTCCAAACATCTAATCTCATGAAAAAACAAACACATGATACATATCCAATTCAACCAAATAGTCCGGAGGATTCACAGTCCCAAGACTCAAATCCGATAGATTCTAATCCCCTCTTATCCAGTTCGTCCAATCAAACACACCCAAAGAATTAAATGTGGGTTTTCTTGTAAGGCTTATCCTACATTGAAACTTTAAGAAAGCTTGTATAGCTAAATAAGCTCTATTTGGCAACACTTGGGTTGGGCTCCAAGGGACACCCCAAGTTTGTAGAAGGGAGGAGTTATGAACAAATGGAACCTTGGCTCAAACCACCACCACGCGCGCCGCCGTCCGGACGCAGGTGTGGGTTGTGGGTCAAGTCGGTTCTAACATTAATTTTTTGGACAAAATTTATTTAAATTTTTTCAAATTCTTGCAGGAAATTATTTGAATTTCAAATTAGAATTAATTCAAATTTGAATTTAAATTTTTTGTCCAAAAAGTGTGCCTCCTTCAGTCCCAGAAACTGCCGGACAGATTCAATTCTTCCAGACAGTTTTATAACTGCTATAGTTTTGAATAGATAAAAACTGCTGCAATTATCTGTTCATATTTTGAACTGCATCTGTTCATTTGAATCTACATCTGTTCAGTTTGAATTCAGAACTGTTCGGGTCTGTCAAATTGCCTATAAATACCAGCCCTATTTCAGCAGTTTGCACATCTGAAAAACATCTTGAAAAATTCTACTCCCTTTCCATTTTGCTCTTTTTTTGTATATTAATTTATAGGAAATTCTTTGAGAGTATAGAACACAGGTTTAGTTCGCCGTACAAATTGTTTGAAGTGCTACTACAATTTGTGAAGATCATTGTATCTTGGGACATAGACGTCTTTTATCCGTAAGTACCGTAGCAGGGCGAATCTGTCTTAAGGACAAAGTGTCACACACTCGACTTGATCTTTTAATTATTTATTTAGTTCGGTAAAATAAATTCGGTAAGTAATTTATTTTATTTGTTTGATTTGTTTCATTTTTCATTTTACAAGAAGATTGTTCCAACAATCTTAAGACAGATTCGAATTATTCGTTTATACAGAATTTTTTGTTTCTTTCCTTTCTTCTTTCTTCTTCTTATAGAAATTATTTTCTGTGGTTTTACAAAATAATATTTTGGTTTGAAAAACAAATAGTAGTATTATACTGTTTGACAGATAGTAGTAATATACTGTCTATTTTTTTTTGACAACTAGTAGTAATATACTGGTATCATTAACAATTCAGAATATTTATTTGTGAAGTTTGTCAAAAATTAATTTTGGTCTTAAGACATAATTTCTGAGTGTTCATTAATTAAAATTCTATTTTCAGTATTTTAATTTTTGAAGTGTTACAGAAATAATTTTTCTATGTGGAATTAATTTGTTTAAATAATTTTTTATTTACAAATTAATTGAAAATAAAAGTTACAATTCTTGTTTCTTTTATTTTACAGAATTTAAATTCTATGTTTTATGGTTTAATTTCTGTGTAGTATAAAATTCTAATTATAATTTTGTTTTATAATTTAGAATTCATGACTACTGAAACTGATCAAACTAATGCTCAAACAAGTACTAGTGTGGTAGCTGCAATTGCTCCAACCCCTTCTGTAGTGATTGTGCCAGTCAATCATGTGAGAAGCCAGAGAAGTTCTTAGGAACTGATTTAAAAAGATGATAACAAAAAATACTGTTCTATCTTACTACTCTCAACCTGGCTCATTTTCTCCGTGAGGATGCTCCTATTTTGAAAGAGGATGAAACTGACCGACAAGTGGTTACTGCAGTTGATGCCTGGAAACATGCTGATTTCCTTTGCCGGAACTACATCTTGAACGGACTTGACAACACATTATACAATGTCTACAGTCCTATCAAGACAGTAAAGGAACTTTGGGAGTCTTTGGAGAAAAAGTACAAAACAGAAGACGCTGGTTCAAAGAAATTTGTGGTTGGCAAATTCTTGGACTTTGTGATGGTTGATTCTAAGACTGTGATTAGCCAAGTTTAAGATCTTTAACTCATTCTGTATGACATTCATGCAGAAGGCATGTCTCTCAGTGAATCCTTCCAAGTTGTAACCTTAATTGAGAAATTACCACAAGGCTAGAAGGAATTCAAGAACTACCTCAAACACAAGCACAAAGAAATGTCTTTAGAAGAATTGATTGTGTGTTTGAGGATTGAGGAGGACAACCGCAATTCTGAAAAAGCGGGCTGGTAAGCATCCAATGGAGTCTAAGGCAAATGTGGTGGAACATGCTCTAAAAGCAAAGAAACGGAAGTTTTTTGGAAAAAGTTCATCACAAGGCTCTAAAAAGATGGAAACTAAAAAGTACAAGTTTAATGGCAAGTATTACATCTGTGATAAAGAGGGACATCGGGCCAAAGATTGCCGTAGCAAAGGCAAAAGCAAAAGAAGAACAAGCAAGAAGACTGCTCAAGCCAATATGATCGAAGTGGACAAAATTTCCAAAGGTGTTGATGACATAAATCTTTTTGCAATTGTTTCCGAGGAAAACCTTGTCGGAAATCCTAAAGAATGATGGGTGGACACTGGTGCTACTCGCCATATCTATACCGATAAAAAGATGTTCACATCTTATTCTAT